CTCAGCCTCCCAAGTAGTTGGGACTACAGGTGCCCACTACTATACCCAACTAGTTTTCCTATTTTTAGTAGAGACAGGGGTCTCGCTCTTGCTCAGGCTGATCTCCAACTCCTGAGCTCAAGCAATCTGCCTCAGTGCTCCCAAGTGTGTGAGCCACCGAACCTGACCCCTAAATTTTTCTTAATTTTTCTTAACTTTACACATAGGTACAGTTCATTCACTTTCACTGCTATGGAATATTCCACTATTCAACCCTCCCATTCTCCCACTGAAGGAGGTCTGGGGTTGTTTTTAGTGGTTTGCTGTATCAAAGATTGTAGTTATCAACCCTCTCCCCTTTTTGTTTCTATTTCTTTCTTTTTTTTTCCTCTCCCTCGTTTTTTTGAGACAGGTTCGCTCTGTGTTGCCCTGGCTGGTCTCACACTCTTGGGCTCCAGGGATCCTCCCTTCTCTTTTTTTTTTTTTTGTGGAGTTTTTGGCCGAGGTTCGGTTTGAACCCGCCACCTTCAGCATATGGGGCAGGCGACTTACTCCTTTGAGCCACAGGCGCCGCCCTGGATCTTCCCTTCTTATCCTCCTTAATAGCTGAGATTAAAGGCATGCACCACTGTTCCCAGCCTCAACTTTCTTGTATGTGACTCTTGGTGCACATGACCAAGAACTTCCCTAAGAATAAAACTGCTAGTCTCAGCATGAGTATGATATGTGTCCTTGTCTTTCATAACTAAACACATCGGCTCGGCGCCTGTGGCTCAAGCAGCTAAGGTACCAGCCATATACATGTGAGGTGGCGGGTTCAAATCCAGCCTGGGCCGCCAAACAACAATGACAGCTGCAACCAAAAAATAGCTGGGCATTGGATGCAGGAGAATTGCTTGAGCCCAGGAGTTGGAGGTTGCTATGAGCTGTGATGCCACAGCACTCTACCCAGGGTGACAGCTTGAGGCTCTGTCTCAAAAAAAATAAAAATAAAAATAACTAAACACACCAGCAGCAGCTTGCTATATCCAGTCCATGCATTGGTTTCCATTTGTGCCTGAATGAGGTTGTTTAGAAGATGTCCTGATGGCTTGACGCCTGTGGCTCAAATGGCTAAGGCGCCAGCCACATACACCTAAGGTAGCGGGTTCGAATCCAGCCCGGTCCACCAAACAACAATGATGGCTGCAACCAAAAAAAAAATAGCCAGGCATTGTGGCGGGCGCCTGTGATCCCAGCTACTTGGGAGGCGGAGGCAGGAGACTCGCTTGAGCCCAGGAGTTGGAGGGTGCTGTGAGTTGTGATGCCATGGCACTCTACCCAGGGGGATATAGCTTTAGGCTCTGTCTCAAAAAAAAAAAAAGATGCCCTGACACTTCTAATCACTGTACTTTCACTTTTGGGCTGGGCATGGTGGCTCTCACCTGTAATCCCAATACTTTGGGAGGCAGAGGCAGGTGGATTGCTTGAGCTCACGAGTTCGAGACCAGCCTAAGCAAAAGTGAGACCTCATTTCTACTAAAACTAGAAAAATTGAGGCAAGAAGATCACTTGAATCCAAGAATTGAAGGTTGCTGTGGGCTATGATGTCCCAGTATTCTATCCAGGGTGACAGCTTGAGACTCTGTCTAAAAAAGAAAAAGAAAAGCTACCCTGGCATATTGGCAGCTTCTTGTAGTCCCAGCTACTCAGGAGGCTGAGGCAGGATGATTGCTTGAGCCCAAGAGTTTGAGGTTGCTGTAAGGTATAATACTATGGCACTCTAGCCAGGCTGACAGAGAGAGACTCTATTTAAAAAAAAAAAAAAAAAAAAACTTTCACTTTTCCATTTTGTACTTGATAAAGCAGCCATAAGGATAAAACCTAACATGGACATCAAGTTCATGTACAAATTACAACTTGTAGGAACAAAGATGGAGAATTGTCTGTTAGCACCATGCCTGTGACATCCCTCCACCAACCAATGAGCAGAACTCAGCATTCACAAGGCATGTTAGCAGCACCCATACTCAATGGACACATGCAGGATGCATGAAGTCCAACGTAAGGGTTAAGGACCACGGAGACTCACCTGCTCACTGGCACTCACTTTCAAGGGCATAGTCCCCAAGTACACACAGGTCCCAACTATGACTGTGAGCTCCTGCTATCCACTCATCAAAGAACTCAGTAGGTGCTGAATATATGTTTGTTTAATGTGTTCACCTAAAAGGTGCTCACAGAGACAGGGCCTCCATACCGAAAACTCCCAGAAGTACCATTCACAGGTGACACAGGGGTCTAAATAGTGCCACTCATATGTGCAATGGGCAGACCCCACACTAGGATCAGAGGAGCCACCTTTTTACAACCAGGAAATGCCAAGGAAAGAAACACAGAGCCTGGCACCAGAGACAGCTCTCTCTCCGACTTCTGCCTTTGCCAGTTCCAGGAAACATGTCCCTCTGGTCATTTCCGTTAGCCCAGCCAGATGGGAATCTCATGCCACGTTTGGCA